ATATATATATATATACACACACACACACACACACAGTATATATTTTTTATTTTTTCCGGAATTTTCAGGAAAGTCCACCTTCATCTCTGTCAACAACAGATAAGACACGAATCGGAGATTGGACATCACTGTCAAGGGCAAACCAGCAGAAAAAAGCTTCAATTTACAGCTTGACTGGCAACCAGCCCTGGGTGTACTCTGATTAAAATCTTTTTTCACAGTTATTTGGTTGCTGTTTGCAAAAAAAAAAACAAAACATGTGTCTCATCTGTTTATGTAAGACTAACAAAATACAATCATGTATTTTAAAAGTAATTGAAGGAGACATGACACATGTAAAACAGATTGTGATGGGTAAGACTCTATATGGATGTTTCGCAGATTCCAGTGAGTCCAGCAAACTGGTCTGACACCAGCTCCTATTTGGCAACTATCGCACAGCCTGCTGCGTCCAGCCTGTCCACCCTGGTTTCTGAGATCTCACATCGCAACAGCACCATAACCACAACTGCCACACCGCTGGATGTGACCAACAGAAGCAGGGGCAGCTCTGATACCTTCTCCAACCAGACAGCTCAATTTGATAAGAACACTCGCTCTCCACAGGACCAGTGCTGGGAAACCTACGTTGGGCAGGTTACATTCCTAACTTTGTTTGTTACTGTAATTACTGTTTAGGACAAGTCCATACATGTAACATAGTGCTGTTGTCAACCCTAACGATTGGCTGTAATTTGTTCAGGATGTACGAAACCTCTCACCCTTAGCCAGGTGGGTTTGGCGACAGCAGGGGTGGCCAACCAATCAGGGACTAAGAGCCAATTTTTTTACTGTGTTACTGCAAAGAGCCACATCATACACATTAGCACACATAAATATCACCCCATCCCTTCATCACACACACACACACACACACACACACACACACACACACAGACCTCGGTCGATCCAGATTTATTGTAAATGTCACACACCAACATGATAATGACAGAAATTGACTCCGACAGTAATAAGGACACAGGCCAGTCATTTTCAACAATGAACATTTTGTGCACTCACACACACAAAATGTTATGCTTTGCGTGATGGTAGATGAAGGACCCCAAAAAGCAGGGAGGCAGGGAGGAGCATGGTGGATTGAACAAAATATATTTAACAAAAAATACAAACTAAGGCAGACACAAAGACAAACACAGTGATAAAACACAATGACCCGACCTCAACAGGTTGGGCAGGGAGTCCTTTAAACAGAACCACTAACCAATCACACAATGGCCAACAGGTGTGCCACTGCAGGAAGAGCCCTACAGTGCCACATGTTGGTCACAAACAGAACTATCCTAACACAAAATCTCAGTTAAACCAAGTCCAAAAACAAAAATATTATGTTTTTCTCTTACTATGCATGTTGCTTAGTGCCTTAGTGCAGGGACTTCTGGCATTCCTTCTCTTTAACAATCCCCTGGCTTGTATTCCGTTGTTGCCACTCGAAGCAGGCACTGTCTGCATGCGAGCTGCAACGGTTTCTTACTATTTGGGTCAGCTTGCGACATAGGGCAAACTTTTTTGACCGAAGATTGACTTTTGAAGCAACCAACCTCCTGCGACCGACCCGATCACTCACGTACATACACAGGCAAGCACGCATGCACGCGGGCGCTCAACCATGCACTCGCGCGCATATGCAACAGCTGTAACAGCCCCTCACATGAACTAAACCGAAACACATTGACACACAAATCCCCCCACCCCCTCCATTTCATTGTCCCACCCCTCGCGGTCGACTTGGGACCAGTCCGCGCTGGCTCCCGGTCGACCACGATTGACGTATTGGGCAGACTTGCCTTAAAATCAAAGGTAATTTGCTGACTAGCTTTGTGCTTAGCGCCGTTGTTTGCGCATGAGCGGTGATGTACCGGTCAAAATTCAGTTGTCATCTGACAGCTTGCCCTGTATGTCAATCAAGTAACGGGATTGATGATAGCCTCACATAGTAAATTCTTCTGTACTTAGCGCCGTTGTTTGAATGTCAGCGCCACCTCCGAGGCGTTTTTGATGATGGTCATGTGAAAGCCCGGGAGCTCCACTGAACCAGCCAAAGAGCCGTCTGCGGCTCGTGAGCTGCTGGTTCGCCACCCCTGGGCAACAGCTTCCTTGTGACCCTGAACAAGATAATTGGTATTGAGAAAATGTGTTAATTTAGAATGTGATTTGGATGAATTGAAATAATCTCTTACAATTGTTTGTTCCGCCTTATTTCGGATCATTAATAAACGGAAAGAAAAAGTTTCATACACACGCCCAGCGCACACACATCTATAGAATTCCACACATTTGATTCACACAAACATTGTTGTAATCGTCATTGTCATCATCCTTATCATTCCAACCATCATCATTGTCATAATCACCTTCCTTTTAATTACTATGTCAAAAGAAACAACTGTTGATAAAAATAAAAATACGACAAATAATAAGAATAATAAGAATAATAGTAATAATCACGCGCCCCCCCCAATAAATAAAAACAAAACACAGTAACACACAAAAGGGAAGACATTACGTCATTGTCTTGAAAAGCAGCACATTCACATCGGTTGAGCAAGTACTCCATTTCCTCTTATGCTCAAATCATTTGTTTTTGTTGACTGTTATCCTTTCGAAACTATATTGATAAAAAAAATCCTATGACTGGAAATGTAACCACACCTTGAGTACATCTTTGAAAAAAGTGTAGTGTTTGCAGTTGGTAAAATGGAAATAAATTATTTGAGGAAAGGGAAAAGGTCGAGTATAATATATTGTAACTGTCATGACGTATACAGTTAGGTATTCCATCCATCCGTCCCTCCATTTTCCGATCCGCTTATCCTCACAAGGGTTGCGGGGGGTGCCGGAGCTTATCCCAACTGTCTTCGGGCAGTAGGCGGGGGACATCCTGAACCGGTTGCCAGCCAATCAGAGGGCACCAGTTAGATATTCATTTGCAATAACTGACAATTGAAATATGAGTGTGCTTGACATAAATTCTAACAGTTATCATACCAATTCTAGAAAATTATCTTGTCTGAAATGATGTCGATTCGGGGTGTCCCGATCACATTTTTGTCTGCACTAGAGTCCAAGTTACCTGATTTTGAAGTTATGAATACCGAATCCCGATCCATTCCCCCGGCATTTTTTTATTTAATTTTTTTAAACAAAACTCTCCTGACATCATGATTTTATATGTCCAGCGGAGCAATGGTTTAAACCAGGTAAAACATTTCAATCCTTTTTTTCCACACATCAGTTTTTCAGGTGCGATATTAAATTAGTCATTTTATACTCAGCTCTATTCTTACCGCCAAGGGAAATGCTCAATTTGCATACACAGCAAGTCGCCGTTGAACTTTCTCCACTTTTCACATATATTTCTATCCCACAGACATATGCAATGCTCCCCCACTGTCTGGGTTTACTTCTGAGACTTTTTTTGATCGTTCAGAGAGGAAACGTTGATAGTATGTTGAGTGGTCTACTACAGATAATGGATGGATGAATGGAAGATAAATCAATTGGTGTCAATGAATCACAAACATTTGATTTGCATGATGTGATTTATATAAAATACAGTAAATTCCTCTGGAAAATAGAGCTCATTTGTTTGGTGCATAACTACAAATTCCATCTCTATGTTTAAACCATCTGCTGTACCTCCAGGAAATGCTGAAGCTGTCCATCATCGACATGATCTTTACAGTGGCCAGCATCCTGCTCATTGATTTCATCAGAGGCTTGGTCGTTCGTTACCTCAGTGACTGCTGCTGTTGGGATTTGGAGAGCAAGTTTGTAAGTTGGACGCAGTAAACACCGTTTCCTCATTATTATTTTATTGTCTTCTTATAATTTAAAGGTGGCAGTTTTTTTGTTTTTTTTGTTATGCCTAAGGTTTCACTTCTGAAATTGACTGGCTTGAAAAGTCAGAACGTGCAGTTGGTAATAAAACCTTATAATAATAAAAATTAAACATTCCCTTGATGGAAATTGTAGAAACTCGAAGAAAGCGACAATTTCTCACGTTCGCACTCCGAGAGAGAGTGTCGTTTTTTTATTATTTTCACCCAAAAAACTTCCTGCCCAAACCGAGCCCCGCCGAAAGTAAGTTTCCATAGCAACAAACAGACTAACATGGCGGTCCTTAAAGGGACTGCGATTATTTCTACCCCGTTACCAAATTATCGTGAACTCTCTGACAAGCATATGAAAACATTGCATTCACACGTTTGCAGTTGGTGGTGAATTATGTAAATAGGAGTCACTACACATGTCCCCCCAGAATTCAACCCAACAAAAATAGACACTCTAAAGTCCAAGTCGTGGGGGGCGAATCCGCCGGCCGTAACGGCTACGCAGGACGGAGGAGTGAGGAAGCGCATCCCCAGGGGGTGGGCGCGGAGGAACAGTAGAAACTGGAGATGGGGGAGGCACAGGGAAAGGGTCGGAGGGGAGAAGGCTAGGAGACAAGCGTCCGGTAGGAGGACGACCCCGCCTCGGCGGGTGAGCCGCTTCCACCGGCCCCGGCCAGTGCAGCGCAAAGGCCCTCTGTGTCCATCAATGTGAATGAACACATAACCAGCAGACAGGAGGTCCTTGGGCACGTGAGAACCTGGAACACCGTGGCAGGAAGTGGGCAGAGGGGCAAAAAGTCTGGCATTGTCCAAGAGGGTGGAGCGTTGTGCCGTGGCCGACCAAGGAGAAGAAGCAGTCGGCACAAAATCCCCAGGTACCCGCAGAGGCTGGCCATAAACAAGCTCGGCGGAGGAAGACCAGAGATCCTCCTTAGGCGCCGTCCTGATGCCCAGCATGACCCATGGGAGTCTGTCGATCCAGTTGCCGTCCTTTAGGGTGGCACGAAGCGCAGCCTTCATCGACCGGTGGAAACGTTCGCAAAGGCCGTTGCCCTGCGGGTGATACGCTGTGGTGCGGTGCAACTTCACCCCTAAGCTGTCTGCCACTGCAGTCCAAAGCTCAGAAGTGAACTGCACGCCGCGATCCGAAGAAATATCCGAAGGGGCGCCAAAACGGGATATCCAGCTGCCAATAAACGCCCGTGCCAGGTCGACTGATGTAATGGATGACAGCGGGGCGACCTCCGCCCAACGTGTGGTGCGATTGACCATAGTTAACAGGTGAGTGTACCCCCGAGAAGGGGGCAGGGGGCCAACCAGGTCGACGTTAACATGGTCGAAACGTCGCTCAGGCA